GTGACAGACTGGCTGGCTCCACACGGGGGGCGTTCTCCTCCTACTGCCGGCTCAGCTACACAGGGGGGGAGGGGTCGGGGCGTTCAGGAAGCCTCCGGCCAGCTGTGGAGGAGGGGGGACATTATCAACAACACCCGCAGTACTTCTGCTGCGAAGCGGCACTTGACAGCGATAAGGCTGCCAGGCCCCTCCCCCTGCTGTGTACGGACCCCCCTCCCAGTGCTGGTGGCGGGCCCCATTCTCACCGCCTCGCGGGGTTACATTCCTCACGTAAGAAGACTGGGGGGGGGGGTTCTCAAAAACATTCATGCAGGCTGTGAGGCCTGGGCTCCAGTGTGGACGCTTCAGGACCACGTGACCTCCATGAAGCTCACTTGGGGGCGCTAGAGAGGCGCTGGCTCTCGGTGCAGTGGGCTTCCTGCCTGCAGTGCTGCGTTTTGAGGATGGGGTCCTGGGTGCGTGTGTGAGCTGTACGCCACACTGCCTCCTCCTCGTTATCCACTCTTGTTGTTCACTCGTCCGTCTCTCTACCTCCCCGCAGGAGAGTCCCCCCAGTGGCTGCACAGGGACGCCGTGAAGGAAGCTTCCGGAAAGGCCAAGGGGGCTGCGTTAGCTGCCACTGAAACCGCCAAGAACCTCGCCTCCGCCGCCACGCCCAAGAAGAGCCAGCAGTTTGTGTGACCGGGACATCCCCTCAGCCGGCACGGGGTGGGGCGCGTCCCCATCCTTGTGACATCATCCCCGGGGCCGCTGTTGCCCCGGTGCTCAGTCCTCCTCCTCCAGCCAATCACCGCTCCTCTACAGTGCTGTTGGTAGCCCTTAGGGCCCCGCCGCCCTCGGGCTGCACATTCACTGGGGCTGCGATCTGAACGGTCCAGAGCCTCGTTGGGTCGTCCCTCAATAGGCCTGCGGGCCTTTTTGGCTAGCGGAGATGACCCCATTCAACAGGAAGGGCAACATTCAGAAAAACACTTGGGTGTCTTATCCTTCAGTCTTTTTATTGCTGACTAACACATTTTTGTGACAAGAAATAGCAGCAGTGGCACCCAATAAGCTATCGTTCTGTCCTAAGAATCTGAATCGTAGCAGCTGTGGCTACAAAGGCTTTATTTTATTATTAATTTGCACGTTTGGTGAAGCGTCGTGCTCAGTTCTGTGTAGAAATGTTCAGAAAACGCTGTGCTGTGCTGCTTAGTGTTCAGACTTGCTGTAGCCCTCTCAGATCTGGGGGAGGGGGGGTTGTCACTGTGATTAGTTTAGCGGGGGGGGGGATCTTTGCATTCCTTTTTAAGCTGTTCCAACTAACACAGTAGACATGTTGATTCGGTGGGTCTCCTTAGATATTTTTGCCATCCTGTTACCATGGCATTCAGCCTGTAGACCACGGGTGTCAAACTCCAGTCCTGGGGGGCCGGAGCCCTGCACATTTTTGGGTTTCCCCTCATTTAACACACCTGATTCAGCTCCTTGTGCTAATTACCACACAGCTCTTGAACGGAATCATTTGTGGTGGAACAGGGAAAGAACTAAGCTACACAGGGCTCCGGCCCCCCAAGAACTGCAGTTTGACACCCCTGCTGTAGACTCAGGCTGATCTTGGCGTAATATAGTAATCGGCACCATAAGTTCTGGTGCGGGAAGGTTAGACTTTTTTTTTTTTTTTACTTAATTGGAATAAAATTGGAATAAAAAATGTTTTAATACACCCCCCTAGATTGGTCTGGTACTTTTCAAACTGGTGCACTTAGACATAATTTTGAGGAATACTTCAACAAAATTATCTTGTCAGTCTTGTTATAGCCTGTCATCTTATTGAGCAAACTTCCCCCCCCAATACTTTCGAACCCATCACTAGCTGTGAAGACTTGCTGAACTAGGGGAAAACTTTATCCAGTGCTGGGTTATAGGGAAGGTGGAGCCTATCAAGAGACTGGGCAGAAGGTGAGGCTCCACACAAGACGGGGTGGCCGTCCATCACAGGGCATACGTGCTCATGTAGAGATACGGATGCGTCTAGCAGGAAAGCCATGAGTCCACGGCCCAATACTGCAGGACTGAGGTTTCAGTGCTACCTGCCGAGCCACTGTAGAGCCAAAGCCAGGCTCAAACTAGCAACTATCCGATCACACGCACAGAGGCTTAGCCCACTGAGCCACACACTGCGCCCTAAAATTCCACTCGTTTGGAGAAGAGTCATTAGCCTTTACCTTTTATGGAGAAAGTGACTGCAGTGGATTATGGGAACTGATCCTGCCCCGCCTTTACCTTCCCACTGTGACTGGGAGAGGGTGGCTGACAAGGCAGTCATGGTCACATGACAGTTAATGGAACATGCTGTCCAATAAAAACATCCCATGGTGCAGCTGGACGAGGTAGGTGGTCAGCGTGGCTTCTGGGACATACAGACACTATCTCAGGCCCCTTCCTGCTGGCAGGTGCCTCACCGTTTCGTGTTGCTCTCAAAATCATGTCACAAGCTCTGACCGTTTTGTGCATCTTGATGTCATTTCAATGTTTGGCCAGCAGGGGGCAAATGCAGACGTTTAGTGCCAGCACAAAGCCTCCCAGCTTGTTATTCTCAGCGCAGTTATAAGGGTGAAATATTAATGTTCGTAAGATTTCTACATTTCTAATTTCATATCAAGCATGTATTAATAATGAATAAATGTGTCTTGAATCCATTCTGTGCTTTTAAAAGCTGCACCTTACTCATTTAAGGGGCATTTTGCTAACTGCTAGGCTAACCCAAATTTATCTCTCCACTCATCTTCCTCCCCTCTATGCCAAATACCATCCCATCCACAATAAGAATACGTGGACCCACCATTGCTTATTAGGTCCCATAAAGAGAAAGCGGAACAGCGTTAAATACTCTGTATAAAACTTTATTTATAATACAATGGAAGTATAATCGGCACAGTAACTGGAAAGGTGGAAAACAGTCCACCCCAAGTAGACCTGGGCACAGATACAATATGATACACCTTCAGAATGCACCGACGCTTGTCCGCCGAAAGTCATATGTATATACATATATATATATATATATATCTCTATTTATTCACAAGTTTACGGTACAGTACTCTCCCCATTTTGTGTACGCCTGACAGAAATGTCAAGCCCCCTCCCCTGTACCACACCCCTGGCCAACCAAAAAAAAAAAAAACTGTAAAATAAAAGGTGTAGAGAAGCAGCCTGAACCACTCTCAGGGCAAAAGAGCCAGAGGACGACCGTTAGCATTAGCCGTTAGCAGTATTAGCCATTAGCGGTGTAAGCCTTGTCCGCCGCAGTGGTCGCCCAGCCTGCATGTCATGTTTGCGCTTGTGGGTGTGCCAGACGGGTGAGGTTGCGGTCAGTCATACAGGACACAGACTGCATAGAAATAGCCTACATTTCATGTACGAAACTATACATCTGAGATTACAGAAGCACCACCCCTACCCCAACCCAGTTACTATGGTGGCAGGGAATTCAAAGTGTCCAAAAGCAGCTAGGAACCTGGGCCATTTCTGGACCTTCCCTATGCATGTCCTGAACATGTCTCGGGCCTGTCCTGGGCATATCCTGGTCTTGTCTCGGGCCTGTCCTGGGCATGTCTCGGGCCTGTCCTGGGCATATCCTGGGCATGTCTCGGGCCTGTCCTGGGCATATCCTGGTCATGTCTTGGGCCTGTCCTGGGCATATCCTGGGCATGTCTCGGGCCTGTCCTGGGCATATCCTGGTCATGTCTTGGGCCTGTCCTGGGCATATCCTGGTCATGTCTCGGGCCTGTCCTGGGCATATCCTGGCCATGTCTTTGGCCTGTCCTGGGCATATCCTGGACATGTCTTGGGCCTGTCCTGGACATGTCTTGGGCCTGTCCTGGNCATGTCTTGGGCCTGTCCTGGACATGTCTTGGGCCTGTCCTGGGCATATCCTGGACATGTCTTGGGCATCTCTGCCTCTTCAGTACCTTTGCCCACCCTTGCTTCCAGTGAGCTCTGAAATCTTGTGGTTGACACTCCCCTGTTCTTTCAGCTGTCATTCACCTTGCATTCTCGCTTCTAAGCAAATTCAAATTATTTCAGACTTTCTGAGTCACCTCACAGGCCACAGGGGTGGTCAGGTGACTTGCGGGACATGTTGTACTTCTCTAAATCCTTCATGGTTGTGTAACACTCGGCACCAGTCCTTTCCAGTGCGTTCTACACCATGGGCGATAACAGGAGCCCTTATAGAATATCAGCCCATTTCAGTTCCATTGGATTCCTTTGGGGGGGGGGGGGGGGTGAGCTCACATAAAAATTGACACCCCCTGGATATGCCTACATCACACATAATAGCGGGAGGTTCTGTGCAAGTTTTAAGTCACCTGGTTGTTTATTTGACAAGTTTACATAGTACATTTTTTAAAGGTCACATGTTCCTTAACATGAATGTAAACTCTTTATGGAAAAAAAAACTTTTCTCCTTCACTGGACAAACTGGAAAGGAAAAAAAGGTAAATGCAAAGAGCTGGTCTGACAATGCATCAGTGTGGAATTAATCTCATTTCCTGTAAACTTATCAAAAGAACAGGTCTCCATACTTATTGCCTCACCTCTAAAAAACAGAGGGAGCTATTGGATTCACTCAGACTGCTTTAATACTACGTTGGAACCTGCCCTGGGAGACAGAAGGGGAACATCAGCTGCCATTATAGATTGTAGTTTTTCCTTCATCTCCCTAGGTCTTCCTCTTCATTTACACATAATAAAACAGTAATATGATGGCTGCTTTTGTTGCTAAGGAACAGTAACCAGGATGTTTTGGAGCTGCCATGGGGATCACCAACGCGGTCAGTGTGATGGAAGCGACACAGTGGGGCGGAGCTAGGTGGTGGGCGGGGCTAGGTGGTGGGCGGTGTCCCATGCAGAGGGACAGCCCTGATTCGAACGCTGATTTGGGGGCGGGTTTTACGAAGGACCCTCCATTCAAGTAAATTACCCCACCACTCAGACGAGAAGTCCTCAGCACGATTTGGCAAGGAGTGCAAAGTAAAAAGAACTCAAGAGGGTGGGGGGGAGCACCGAGGTTCATCCAGGTGCCATACGGACTTCACCACATGGGGGGGGGGGGTTCTTCTCAAAGCCTGGCCCAGAGTCCTTCCTTGTCATATATACACTATACTCTTTTTTTGCCGTTTAGAACATTTACGAAAATATAATACAAAAATTTTATACAGGAAATATAGACTTAACTTCTTAAAAACTTTTTTTTTTGTATGCAGATTTTTTTTTTTTTTTTTTT